TGTTGTGAGGTTGGTTGTCCATGTAAGAAGGCTGCTGAAGCAGCCAAAAATGAGCCACCGGCTGCTGCGGATCAGGTTGCCAACGCTCCGCCAGGCGACCAGGCCGTAGCTCAGGCGCTGGGCAACGACGCAGCTCCTATACCCGGTGCTGCAGAGCCAGCGGTTCTTGCGCCTGGAGCTGTGGAGCCGGCGGTTCCTGCGCCTGATGCTGCAGAGCCAGCAGCGGCTCCAGCAGCTGATGCGGCCGAGCCCGAGTTGCTCGAGGAGGCTCCTCCAGCTGACGATGGCGAAAGCTTGCCAGATCATGTGGAGGAGGAGCTTCCCGATTTGGAACCGCAGGCGTCGTGCCGCAGACGATGGCTATGGCCGACGAAGGAGCAGCCGATGCCGACCCCGAAAGGGGCGGATCAGGAGCCTCTCGAGGATGAAGAGGCCTACGAGGAGGAGGACGACGACGAGCCTACGGGTGATGTCCGTGCTGAGCCCGAGGCGAATGCCCCTCCAGCCTTGGATCCGGCGGCAGAGATTGCCGCTCAGGCCCTTCGTATGTCGGGCATAGAGCCCGCTCCACCCGGTATTCCGAAAGCCGCTGCGCTCAACGCGGGTTCCAAAGAGCAGCTCGTGCAGCAGGTGCGGGAGGGGAGCTGCGAGTGCTGAGGAGGCTCCCGGTGCCGCTGCACCGAGACCGCGGACGAACACGCGCGCCTCGACGCTCGTGAAGCGGAATTACTCGCCGAGGCTGAGGGTCACCCTTCAGCCGAAGCGGGAGAAGATCCGCAGCATGCTGCCGCGAGTAGTGCTCCACCTAGTGCGAGCACGACCGGGCCACCGGTCAAGGCGCCTCCGCCGCATTTGCGGGGCGCTACGGCCGGCGAAGAGGCTCAACAGGGTCGCGGCACCCGGGCATCGAGCGACGAAGCAGGCGATGGCCCATCATCGGGCCCCCTGGTCGCCGGAGGTGCCACCCTCGCGACCATTGTTGCGGTATGGGACGCTTGCCACATGGTGCGTCCCCATGCTGAACAGGCAGTCGCTGTTGTCGCCGACGAGGTTGCCTTTGCGACCTCATCGGCCATCCGTTTAGGAGCCGTGGCCATAGCCACGCTGATCCTAGCGGCTACAACCGCCGCCTTGTAGGCGTGAGGTGGACTCTTTCTGCTAAGAGTCGCCTTTTCCAATCCGGCTTCACAATGCCGAGGGAAATGCAGCCGCTCTACATTCCGCCGACGCCGCGCTGCCTCCTGCCGCTGCCGACACCTGGTGGCCGGACACCCGAACTCCCTTAAGCCTCGTGAGAGTGGGTTTGAGACTAGGAGACTTAGAGAGGGACGAGTCCGGGACGAGCGGAGAGAGTGTGCTGCATATGTACGGTCCTTGGTGGACCAAGCGCAGGCCGAACGGAGATCTGTTCGAGTGTATGGGTTGAACGCAGCTGGTCGAGCTTTGTTGCACCAAGAATGCGCATCTAGGCGCCTGAGCCACTTAACCAGTGGCGATAAGTCCTTTATGACCTTTTGGCATGAGGACTGGAGTCCACGTAAGAGCTCCGAGGCCCCAGCTTCGAGTGATGCGCTTAAGGACCAGATCATCCCCAGTCGAAGCGCCCCGGAATTGCCTGCTGCCGCTTTGCAGGCTCAAGAATCTCCTTCGGGAGCCCTTTCCAATAAGAGCATGCGCTCTACGACCTCCGGCGGAGCTGAATTTGAATTGGCGTTGCTTCGACGAGAATGTGATGGCTTGCGAAAGGCCCTTGATGACTCTACTCGAAGGGAGCAAGGCCTGGCGGCCCAACTCCGAGCTCACCGTGTTCTCCAGGAACAGGCGGCTGACGGTCGTGTAACGCCGTTAGCTATCCTAGATGCCGCGCCCCAGGCGCGAGGTGGAGAAGTGCAGATTGCCCTCCACCCGGACTCTAGCTTTTTAGGTCCGTTGTTGCAGCTGATCAGTGACGCTGCATGTGTCGAGATCTTGCTCACCGCGTTCACCTACGACGATCCGGAGCTTACGTCTGCCGCCACCGCAGCTAAGCAGCGAGGAGCCAGCGTCCGATTGCTTATCGATTTGCAAAAGGCTCAGGCGTGCAAAGAATCGAGGAAGATCTTGCAGCAGCTCCTGGACTCGCAGTTCGAAGTTCGTACAACATGCGGAAGATCCCTCTCGGAAGTTTATGGAGGTAGCTTTAGAGGTTTTAAGGGAGCGCTCCATGCCAAGACCGCTCTCGTCCGAAGCCGTGCTTCGGGAGACGGAGATGATGGAGTAGCCTTGTTCGTAGGTTCCCATAACCTCACGAAAGCCTCCCGTGCCAATCGCGAGTTCGTGACCGAGTTACGACTCGCCGCGAGTGACACTCGCGTTGCTACATACCGGGCTTGGTACGAGAGCATGTGGAGCGCGTCCGAGGGGATCCAGGTAGAGGCTGGCGCCGCGCCACGCCGCCGCGTGCGAGGCAAGAACGCCCCGCCAAACGCGACCGCTGCTGCTGACTGAGTGGTAGCACGAATCTTTTTAAAATCCGGGGCTGCTGAAAGGGGCACCCCGCCCTAACGTGCATTAGAGATTCGTGCAAGCGTTTGTGCTTCAAGCGTTTGTCTGCCAGTCGCCGTTGCAGTTCAAGGAGGCACCCCGCCGTGGTGCTGTTCGCCTTTAGCAGTAGTTTGTGCATTAGCCTTTA